AAAGGATTGGAAATTGGTCAAAGGATGTGTGTGACCCTTTTCTTCCAAAATGGAGCCACCTTTTACTGTGACCATTGGAAATAGCTATGAGAGTGGCCCATTTGGAAATCAGTCAGAGGAGCTGAGCCTGGAGTCCCACTCTGCTCTGCCTGGTGGGCAGCCCGCTTTCCCAGTCATGAGATGGTTGCTGTTTCCTCCCTTTCCAGCCCAGACCAAATGGTCAGTGGTTTCCTGGGTTTTCACAATTTGCCCAGTTCCATTATGAAAAGCTTGAAATGCCCCTACTGAGACTTGTCCACTGACAGCAAGAGCCTTGCACTACATTGTGTTGGAATTCTGGGCATTTGGCCCCTCCGCTCATGCCAGAGCCCTTTCGACCTTCAGCCCCACCCATGGCTGGGATGGAGCCCCTGATACCCGCAGAGCCTCGGTGCTTCTGCCAGACCCTGGAAGGGGTGACTGGGGAAGGCAAGCAAAATCTGTCCAAAATGCCCAAAAATGGCCCACGAAAGTGGCCAAAATGGCAGGTTGGCAGAATGCTTCCAAATTCACAGTGTTTGCTGAGAGAACCTCTGAAATTGAACCCTGACCTTAAGCTGAAAGGGGTTCCACACCCCTGGCACGAGTGACGTCGAGCACATGCTTGGAAATCTCCAGTAAGAATGCTTTAAAAGAACTGGGCATTCCTTGCACACGGGTGTCTGGCTCATGTGCACACCTCCCCCGGTGCTATAAAATGGCATGGGTAAATAACACGTCTCTAGTGGGCACATGTATCCCAGTGGCAGGTTGCCTGGAACCTCCCATGTCAATATGGGTTTGGTGCCTAACCGTAGCCTCCTGTAACCTGAGTGATGGGTGAAGAAGCCCTTTAAATTCCTGATAGTTGCAACTTCTGCCATCTAATCCTCTTCCCTTCCAGGGTTGCCATCTGCCGCTCCCTCACCTTCTGCTCTGCCAAGCTGCAGACCAAACAAATAAGGGTGGCATGACAAGACTGGAGAGCAAGGGCTGCCTTCAGTGGAAGATGGTAAAGCTCCACAGCCTTTGTGTTCAGGTCACAAATTTGCCCACAGCTGGCCAAGAGTGACCATAGTGACATTGTTCGCTATACCAGCTGCTTGAAAAGAAACACTTCTGAGTTTCCAGGAGGTGGGAAAACCTGTTTCATACAAAATTCTCTGATTGATTATTTGGAATGAAGAGAGCCACCCCCTGCCTTTGTGTCAAGATGAGCTGGATGGCTTGCTCGTGCATCTGTGTATGTTTTGAGCATAGAGGGGGCGAGGGAGAGGGATTTCTTTGCACTGCGTTTCAATCTATAGCCCTTCCCCCTCTCCATCCTGGGCTTCTGAAACCTCCAACTTAGAAGAGCTTATATAGGATATCATCCCCATCCGCCTTAATTCTTTGTGGGTTTAATGTTTTAGTTGGCTTATTCCTCCTGAGGTCAGAACAATAAGACGCAAGAAGTAAAAGCTTACATTGCCTTTCTATGGAAAGCACATGCCAAGAATTTTAATCTCCAGTTAAACAGACTCTGATTTTTATATTACCTAGTGTAAACCTGCTATGAATATTTTCCAGATATTCTGAGAACATTCATCAGCTTGCTGTGGCTGCCATTCCCCAGACTTCTTCTTAGCTATATTAATCTAAGCGGAGTTCTAGTAGGTGGCCCTGTGCTTTCTGTAATATTTCACTTCTTTGATGTTGCGTTTACCGAGAGCGGCCCTGGACACTGTAGGGAGGAATTTCATGTATTTCATAACGGCACTACACAAATGCCCCATTCAGAATCATAGAATAGTACAGTTGGAAGGGGCCAGAGGGCCATTGGTCTGACCTCCCTGCTCAGCGCAGGACTCCATATTTCAAAGATCCCAGCTCAGTTCACTTCCTTGTCAGGACTGAGCATGGGGAAGAAGTCCAGCAAGCGCAGGAAAGCTGGATTCCAGTTAAGCCATCCCTCTCAGATGGCTGTCCAATTACAGCTTGAATGCATCTAGTGTGGGAGAGCCAACCACCTCCTAAGGTCATTGTCATCAATCTAATAGTCAGGAAGTTTATCCTGATCACTAGCTGGAATCGGGCTTCCTGTAACTTGAGCCCATTATTCCATGTCCTGCATTCTGGGATGATCGTTAAAAGAAATCCTGGCTTTCCTCTTTGTGATAACCTTTCAAGTACTTGCAGCCCCTCAGCCTTCTCTTCTTGAGGCTAAACATGCCCAGTTCTTTCAATCTCTCCTCATATGGCATTGTTTCCTGTCATCCTTGTTACCCTCTGAACCTTTGAAGAGCCAACATAGGCATCAAATTGATTTCTAATGGCTTGTACATGGGGATAGCTGGATGGTGTCCCGACACGTGACCAGTCATGAATTGTTCTTGAACTCCAGGACGGCCCTTTGATGCCACCTCCAAGCACAGGAAACTTGGAGGCCATCTGTTGACACAGTGCTTTTACATGGTCTGGAATAAGTGCGGTAGCAAACTCATAGTGATCAGCAGTGGATCTGTAGTTTACTACTGGGAGATTTCCTGAGTGCAGTCACAGACAAAGTCTTCTAAATCTAAGCACTTTCCTCAAATGATCCAGCTTGTGGACTTCATTGTGCTTCAAACGGCTGTACAGATTTTGCCAGGGCTGAATGTACCAAAAGGGACTGAGGCTTTTCCTGAAGCTTAAATGGCTCCTATATAACAGGTGAGAAGAAACTGAAGATAAAAAACTTTTTGCACTGCTGAATATTTATGTATCTCACACATATTGCCAACACGTGTCTAGCACATGTCTTAGGCTTCCATTGTTATTATGAGGATTAGCTTTAGCCAGTAACAGCAACCACCTTGGATAGGGAGGCTCAAGTTAATTGCTCCCAAAGTGTTAAAATCAACCAACATCATAGGTTTTCGTTAAGACGCAAGAAAACAGCATCTTGCCAAATGCCTTGTGGCCATTCGAGAAAGGCCAGACTTTTCTCCCACTGCTGCAGAGAATTCTGCAGAGAAACATTAAAACAAGACATCCTTTCCCACAACTTTCTAACGCAAAATCCTGTCGTCATTTCTCTTTGGCACTGTTTTTCTTTTTTTAAGTGGTCAAGGAATGTTAGCTGTATCAACACAAGTTTTGTTATTGGCTCAATGACACAAATTAAGAACTGGTGCCCAGTCTTGCTTCATACTTGACTCTGTCAAGTGACTTGACTCCGTAGCTAAGGTCAAAAGATTCTTATCAGTCACTCATCATCAAGGGCTCCCAGAGTCAGGCAAGATGCCCTTTACATACTAAGCAATGGCAGCAAAGACTTCTCGGGCTGATGTCCACAAGTCTCCTGCTAGGTAACTAATGCTGGCCAGCAATGGCATGAATGGAGGGGAGGTATTAGATAGCGTGGCCAAGCTAATCTAGTGTGCCTTAGGTCCTGGAACAGCTGAGCTGTGGAGACCACTGTGGAGTCCTAATGAATGATGGCCTTATTGTATACTGGCGTTGTGCTGTGCCAGCAATTTGCAAAATGCCCCACGAAGCGAAAAGAGTATTGAAACAATCTGCTCCTATAGCTATCCCCTTGCTTTTATTACAGATGCTTTGCTTCTTGAGTACCAGAGCTGGAGTCCCACCAGGAAAACTTGAACCAAGTCCAGAATAAAACAAAACGGAAAGGGGCCTTTGCAAATCTAGACTGACCGACTGCTGGATGTGCCCATTTCCACATCCTCTTCTGCTGTTAGGGATTTGATTTGAGTTTTAACAGGCCCGAATGTTTTCTCTCTGGCCCATGTTTGTATTGCTGTTTATCCAACTTGCACTGGAGAATCTTCTCCCCTGGAAGTGGCTCTATAGGACCAGATTGCACTGCAGTTCTGTTCTGTTTATTGTGACTGGCAAAGAAATGTGTCGAAGAAGAATTTCCACCAGTTTTCTTTCCCCACCCGTCTTGTCCTGGGAACATCTGCATAATTAGTTTTCAATGAAGGCATTCTTTAGATTCTGGGGAGGAGGAAACCTTCATCTTGGATGTCCTCCTCTTCGGGTCTGCTTTATGATGGACATGGTTTCATTGCTCTGGACAGGCAGTTCTTAGAAGCCTAGTGCATGTTTTCGCACATGTTTTTGGCTGTACATTATGTAATGGATACATGATTAATATTATTCACATGTATCATAATGTTTTCTACTCTGCTTTTTATAAAAAGATAGCCAAAGTAGCTAACACAGCCTTTTAAAAGCTTAATGGTTACAAAAAAGCATTTCAGATCTTGGCATCTCAAATCTCTGGGGAAATTTGGCCAGCAGTTTCATGATGATGTTAAATAGCACAGGTGATAGCACAAGTCATGGTGCAGAACCTCAGTCAGGCTTTTGCAGGACAAAATCAGCCTTCTTCGGTTCCTGTAGGTTTCCTCCCATCTACTGATATTTTGGTGGTTTCCTAGATTTGTTACTTTTTCCTCCATTCTAAAAGGTTGAAACGCCTTTTTCTAACATACAGTTACAGGGAGTAACAGCTTTATATTAAAAGACACTGGTATTATTTGGTTTCCCTCACCAGTGGGATGTGACCCCCATGAACTTATCTGACGTGGGGTTCAGCCTTCAGGATGAGAAAGCTTCCACACCACTGCCATGAGCCAAAAACCTTAAGGGCACAGCAGCAGTTCCTCATCTTCAACATCTGGTTCCTTGCTTCCAGGAATGAGTCCTTATTGATAGATGCTCTCCAAAATGTCCTTTTAAATGCTTTTTACGCTTGTGGTTTGTTTGCAGCTTATACAATTCCTCTGATCAATTGATATCATTTATTGCAGTCCTCTACCCCTAATTGGAAGAGGGTTTTCATGTCCACCACACCATCTGCTTTCCATGTGAAGTAGCCATTCTGAGAATATCACTGAAAACAGTCCTTGGAAATCAAGGAGGACACTGGAGGAATAGTTTTGGCGATGCTCTTCTTGGATGATAATGCCACGTTTCTGTTTTTGCAATTCCAGAGATAAAAACAACCGTGGTGTACCCAGCAACAGAGAAACACCTTCAGAAATATTTGCGTCAGGAAGTGTATCTCATCCAGGAGACTGGAGAGGATTACAAAAACATTACCCTCCCATTTATCCAGTCTCAGAGTTTCAGCATACAGGTATGGAATGTAGCAACCGGTTCCAGTACAGTCCATGGCTGGGATCCAAAGAGTTATCATAGGCACACCCAAAACCTTGCCGCATGCCCAGTTGAATTTTCGAGAATTTTTATCTGCTATGAATGATGGCCCCAGCCCCAGCACTCCCCTGGTCTCCCCGTGCCTGATGACAAACTGCTTATGAAGCTCCTCTCGGGTTCGGAATGGGTCTGGCAAAGGGCAAGTACCTGGCACGGCAGCGGGGCGGAGGTGAGACTCAAGACTCACAGGTCCAGGCTCCACTGGGGGAGTACAAAATGGATCGTGCAGCTTTTTGGATTTAGGCCAAGGTCTTTTTAGGGACATTTAGCTGATTTTAACAGACAGGCCTTTCTCTGTGTCTTCTCAGACGGGCTTTTGTGACTCAGTTGTTTGGATGGATAATTATGAGGACTTAACAAGATTTAACAAATGGTTTAGCTCCCCTCCCCACCCACTTTGGTGGGATGTAATTTCATCCAGCTTTTGGGGACACTCAGTATGCAGCAGGAAGGCTGTTTTGCCCGACTACAATTTCCTACATTTAAAGTGGCCTCTGCATCCTCAGCAGTATATTACACTTATATTACAGTCCTGTGCAAAATCCGATGCAGTATCTACTCAGATGTAAGTGTCAGAACTGTTGTCTTTGGCATCATTTCAGTTGGAATGAGAACTAAAGGCTGAGATCAAAATCTTCTTGAGAGAGTGGGTTTGGTCTGGGGGCTGAAGAAGGGAAAACTGAGCAAGAAAGCAACACACACACACACACACACACACACACACACACACATCCTGTTTGTGGTAGAAGGATAGGGGAAGCAGAGCCCGCTGCATGAGCTCTTCTTTTCGCAGAAGTCTCATGCACTGGCCGTTTCATCTGGACATCCTGTCCGCCACTGGTGCTCAGCCTGTTGGTCCTGACAGCCACACATGATTCTGGCTTGCAAGTCAGAGGCCACCTGCATGTATATACTCATAGACACAGAACATACAGATGTACCCATCCATGCCCATAAGCACAGACATACGCACTTGTCCCAGGGTCCTGGTACAGATGGCTTGTTCAGGACCCCTAGCAGCAGCTGGGAAAAAGTGGTGTGTATTCAGGATCTCAGAGAGACGGAGGAAAGAGAACAGGTAGGGGAGGGGAATACAGGGGCTGTGGGAACATCAAGGCGTCCTTGGGGGCTGCAGGGTTCTGCACCCCTGCTGTGCATTGACAGAAAACTCATTCTCTGCATGTGGAGCTTTATTTAGCCAAAACAGCAGCACCCACACATGCTCACAAGAAATACCAGCCGGCTTGGAAGAGGTTCAGAGGTTTCAGGAGTGCAAGAAACACTGGCTGAAGAGGTGTGCTTCACGCACACACAGCGTGCTGAGTAGCTTCTGCTATGCTTCCACAAGGCGCAGATGATCGCTCTTGGAAGCCACATTGCCCTGTGAGATCCTGCACTTGCATCTCACTCTTGAGTTGTGGGAGGAAGCAGCCTCTCTGTGTTTCTCATCACTGGATGTGTACAGAGATATTTCACCCACTAAAACATTAGACGCAGGAGTCATCTGTGGGAGAATGCCTTTAACTGAAAAATCAACATGTGGCAAGAGACTTGAGACAGCCAAGCTTAGCAGCTTTTGGTGTTTCTCTCAGTGATATTTGATCTTCGGCTTGTGCTGCCTGAAGCACTCAGATAGTCAGGCACTGTCCCATAGAGTGCCAGAAATCAAGTCCTTATAACATTAACATGTTGACATAAAGATACACCCTGATTGTTGAGGTGATGATTTACTGTTTACAGAGGATAAACTCCAATAAATTCGCTCTAAATTTCAACCTAGGGAAACATGCTGGGAAGGGAAGGGAGGCGTTGGGAGGAAACTGTGTACTCTCCTGTTTATTTATAGGTGCTTAAGTTGAACTGAGAACTACCTTGCAAAATTAGAAAAATGCACAGCCCAAAGGGTAACTGTTCTAATCCATGTGTTAGGCAAGGAAGTGCAAATTAGGTTGGTATGCTTAAAAATGCTGACCAAATTCCATTCTCTCCCATCCCTAGTTGTGTCAAGCACAGAGAAGGGGTAATATTACTACTGCCATCTGAGACTGCTAAGGAGGTTCAGTCCAGAGCAGGGACTCATGCATTGAAGCATCAGGGAACCTCCTCCATAGGTTCCTGCAAAACCGCCACTCTTTAATTCAAAGGTTCTTACTGGCGACATGCCCGTCAACCTGGCATATGATTTGGCAGGTCCTCATTGGCTGCAGTTGACTGCCTGTGCCGTTTTTTTACACCAGCAAAGGATGAGAGGAGGCTCTGTACGTGCCACCTACCTTACCATCTATGTTTCTTCACAAATTACCGCTTATTTTTCCCTTGACCCACAGCTATATTTAAGCAGTTCTGCTTCAGCAGATCAATTTGAAGGAAAATTCTTTCCAGCCCCCCTTATGCAATTCTTGTGCAATTGTTCTCCAGAAACAAACTGTTGACGAATCTGCTAAATGGATTGTTCTGCTTTCAGAGATGGCAGATGCATAATGCTTGTTAGTAAAGACCTGTATACCCTCTAATTCATCTGGCAAAGATGCACATAAGGGAATAATTCCCTCTTTCCCCTAAGAGATCGAGACAGGCCCTGACCCATAATGTTTGATTGTTTTATGGATAAATAACTGTAAACCTTATTAGCTGTGAAATCATTTGGCTCTCTCATGAATCCAAATGCAGGTTTTATATGTGAGGACCTGCAATGAGGTTTCCATGGGCAAATAGCAAAAGCAAATAAATTCCGCTTGGGTTAGAGAGATGCTTTATTTCATTTTGATAACTGTTTGCTAGGGGCTTCATTTGCTTGTTGTTTCCTAAAGCGATTAATTTATGTTTTTCAGTGGGTATACAACATCTTGGAGAAGAAGGCTGAGGCAGATCGAATAATCTATGAAAACATGGATCCTGTTAATGGATTTGTTCTCATTCCAGATTTTAAATGGAATCAAAAGCAGGTCAGTTCATCCTTTTAAGACACTGCAATTTTAAAAGTAACTGTGGGAAGGACCATATCTTAGCCCAGAACATAGTCTAGCACAGCTTTCCCCCAATCTGACACCCACCAAATGTGTCAGGACTACAACTCCCTTCATCCCCACCCACCATGACCTGTTAGATCAGCGGTTCCCAAACTTTTTTGGTCATGAAACCTTCCTGAAGGCACTTTTCTTCCACTGTTGCCTAACTCTATCCCTGATTTTTTGCTAAGCATTGTGTTCCCACAACATTCTTCCTTTCTTCATCTGCGCCTATTGCCTGAGTGCTTTGCATCACATGGTAGGTTTGGAAATAAAGAGAAAACATTTTAAACATAACAAATGGATAAAGCAATTATATGCTTCTCCCAAATGAATGCTTTTGATTATTCCCGACACTATGCAATAGAGTCCTAGGAACCAAGTCACCTGGTGCATTTCCTTGTTTGCTGCTTGGATGCCAACTGACAATCAAATAGTTGGCCTCATGTGGTATCATTTTAAATTCCTTTTAAAATTTGTTTTTTGAGATTTTTTGCGGAACTCTTTTGCAGAACTATGCAGCTGCGATTACTCTCCCCTTTACAGCACTTCCTCAGAAATAAAAGTTTCCAGCACTCTAACATCCTTCTTTGCTTCCTAATAAAGCACTGGGCAACATTACATGGGTTTCGCATGCCCTTAAATGCTGTTCTTCACCTCCAGTTAGCTTACATTCCAAAAGTCCCTATTTATTGAAAACAGCTCTCAGCTCCCTGGCAAATCACCAGGGAGGTTTGTACTTAATGCTAAATCGGGGCCTGACACAACTCCCCTATGGGCTACAACAAGTTTAGCTTAGAAGGAATCGGAGGGGAGACGTGATGGGGGTCCATAGAACTATGCATGGCATGGTTACAGTGGATCTCTCAGGAAACTGGAACTTCAGGATTATCCCGTGAAGCTGAGCAGGACCGATAAAAGGAAGTTCTTTACTTAGCACACAGTTAAACTATGGACATCACTTCCTCAAGGTGAAGTGATGGTCACTCTTTGGACAGTCGTCAAAGGGGACTACACCCATTCCTGGAGGATGAGACTGTCAGTGGGTGCAGGTCCTGATGGCTAAATTCTGCCATCAGCATCAGAGGCAGTAGGTCCATGCACACATGCTGCTGTGGAGCATGGGTGGGGAGAGTTGTTGCACTCATGTCCTTCTCATGCATCTCCTGGTGATATCTGGTTGGCCACTGTGTGAGCAGAATGCTGGGCTAGATATGCCTCCGTCTGATCCAGCACAGCTCTTCTTACATTCTTAAGTTGTGGTATGAGAACAGGAATCCGAGAAGCACAAAAGTTTCTTTATTTCAACTGGGAAATGTTGGAGGAGGTGTAGTTTTGCATTTATCTTGCTTGCTTCACCTTTCTGTCTCTGGAGTACACACTGGTATGCATTGGCTCCAAGCTGTGCACATTCCTTGCCCAACGCTTTCACAACAGTACTATATCAGCAATAACATGAGACACCCAAGAGTACCTTTTCCGATAATAGCTCTTTTGAATATAAATACATGTTGAGATAGTACCAGATATGCTGCATTTTCATCTGCTGGTGTCTGTCTCTGTAATGAACCCAAGGGCTAAAAAGGTGACAATTCCAGTTGCATATTTGGACAAATGAACAAAGATACTGTTGTGTTCATTTTGCACCAACTTGTGTTTGGATTTTATAAAAAAAACTTGCTTTCATAATCTGCATATTTGGGTGTAAATTAACCTGACAGCAACTGTTCTGCTTGCCCAGATTAATGATCCTAGTCCCCAGAAAGTCTGAGAGCTTCTCACTTGCTTTACGATTTCATGTAAAAGGGCAGATGGCGTATAAGCACTTGGCACAAGAAGCATCAGCTGCCTGTTTTGAAAAAGGTGCATGATAAAGCTAAATAAGTGTGCCTAGACATTGCACTGAATATTGCTTGGTCAGAAAAAGTAACCAGGATCATATACCACCTTTATTCTGTGATGGAGCAAGTCACCGCATGTTTGGTCTTTTATAGCAGAGCAATCCTTCCTTACTTTATGACCATTCCCCTTCACAACCACTGAGGTTTAAAAGTGAAGACAAGCTAAGTGGTTTTCTTCGTGGTTTCTCTCCATCTTCGAATCTACCTCTTTATAGCTGCTTCTATTTATAATCAAGTACCTTCTGTTCCTTATTGATGGTTTTGAAAGACTTACGTGTGGGAGAGCAAAGGCATAAGAAGACTTTGGTAGTATTTCTGGTTCATATTTTCATGTATCAATATTGTGCTTTTCATCATGCTTTCCTGAGCAGAACATGACCTTTAAAGCAAAAACTCAAAATAGTCCTGAGGTTTAAAGGTGCTTTTTAATTTCTAGCTTGTAAAATCTAACCTCAACATCAGGAGTATAAATCTGTTTTCTTTCTGTTAACCAGAAGCACTACAGCCACAAAATTGCATTGAAAGTCTGCCTTTTTAATGTGTTGCTGCTGGGACCATGCCATTAATTCTTTGTCTTGATCATTTTCTGGCCGGATCATCTCAACTTACCTTCTCAGTAGCTGTTTGCCTGGGAAAAATAGGATTGCAAGTTGGGCAGAGAGCAGAAGTGGGTCTAACAGGGGATGGACACAATCTAGAAAGTTGTGCACACACAGGGATGGGTTGTTGTTAGCTACACGACTGCAAAAGTTTTACCCAGAGAACCACATAAGAGCACTGCTCTGTAGTTTCAGAATCAACAATGCAGTCCCTTTGTTTTCCCGGTTTCATGGATGACAGCCATGGGATAAAAAAGTGTTCGTCTGTGGGACAATGAACAAATTTGAATCAGGGACATCCCATCAATGGGTAAGGAAGGATGCCAGTCTTTTGCAAAAATACAGACATAAGTACAATCCTAGGCAGGGAAAAGCCCTATAGCTCTGACATTCCTCAGTCAGCTGGCCCTGCTGTCTGTGGGATATTTTTTTTTCCTGCCGAAATGTGTCTATGATGCCACCCTTAGTTCCCAGGCTTTTAAAATCTATGTACACCGAGATGAACATGATGCTGCGAAATAGTGTATCACCACCCTTTGCACTGACTGCTGGCTCTTAGCTCTGTTAAGGTTTTCATCTATTTTAAATTATTTTTGTGATGATTCATTATTATTTTTCTTTTTATTTATATCCGGTCTTCCTTGCAAGGAGCCCAGGGCAGCTAAGAACCCATATAAACCAGCACAACACACCATTAAAAAAGTATTCACTATGTAGTGATAAGCGCAAGAACACACCAAAAGACCATCACCAAAACAAATGAAACACTTGCTTGTGCCCCTCAAAGCAAGTGCAAATAAAATACATTGGTGCTTGAATGACGTCACCACTGGGACTACCAAATCTCTACTGGAAAGAAGTCAATGGATTGTTTTTATTTTGAATTATATATAAACTGCCTTGCATTAGAAAGACAAGCTATGAATGTTTTAAATATAATTAAATGGCTCTTTCAGGATCTGAAAATGGCATCTAGGCGATGCATCATGCATTTTCCCATCATGATGCATAGATCCATGTTAAAAGGCAGATCATTAACCCACTGGAAATCGATTAAAGGGAAGTACTGAACGGCCTCCTTTTATTTTTCTTTCTGTGGCATCTTTACCCGTACACACAGCACGTCTTGTGAGACTGTTTCCCCAGTAATTCCTCAAGAAAGAAAACGTGTGCAAGAAATGAACTGTGATATTTTGTCATCTCAGTGACACGTTTTATGAGAGAGGTTGCTTTCCTGCAGTTACATCATGTTCCTGGCATAATTCAAGATGTTGGGATCACAACCCTAAATGGCTTGGGTCCAGGACACCTGCCCGTTGCCTTTATGAACCTGCATATTCCTCAAAATCAGGTGTCCCACCCAAGCTGGAGGCAATGCTGGGTCCGTGCTTTGGACGGCCCTTGGGCAGGACACCCCAAAGGGTCTTCCTGCCAATGAGTCTGCCTCCTGACCCCCATTCCCACCAGCTGCTGTCGCCCTGGCTCTTCTTTCTCATGCTAGAAGCCACTCGCCTGCTTGACGGGCACAGAGCCAGCAGTCAAGGAGGCAGCTTCATCTGGTTGGTGAAGACAGTCCTCTGATCCCGTGCCACTTGTTCCATCCACTTGACCGCTGAATGTTTCAGGTTTGCTTCATCTGTGCTCTTTGTCATTGTGTTTTTACCTGCCCTTTAGTTTTATGGGATGTTTCACTATCTATATAGTGTGTTTTTTCTATTATAGTTATAGTGCATGGGCCTAGTTGGCACATCATGGCAGCAGTTTCTGGGGCATTTAAACCAGGAATTGCCATGGACAAGTGGAGCATGCAAATCATCTTTCAGTTAACAATCCAAGAATGCTTCATTCTTGGTTTATTGCATGATATGTGAAAACAGCAATTTTGTATTGCTTCTGTGTTAAAAACAAACCCCAATGGCAAGGGGCAATTGTTGGGTTAACTCTGGGTTGTTTAACCTATAAAGTAGCCAGTTTTTCCAAGTTCACACATCACAAGCCATTCCTGGGTTGTAAATCAAAAGTGGAAACAAGAAGAACATGGCCATCTGCTGCTCCACTCATCCCCACAATTTCTGGGTTAAATCATCCAGGATTTCCTGCTACGGCATACAAACTTATCCAATTTCTGGATAATTAAAATCAAGAAATGCCAGCACCATTTCAGCCAAGTTTCTTCAAGCTAGGCAACTTGCTTGAGATGGAATAGGGCAAGTGATTTTGAGACCAGTAAAGGCCAACAAAATATAAGTCATTATTGTCATTCTGGTATGGGGAGAGTTTCATTTCATTTGTATTCTCTTTGGATCCATTCTTCCTCTTCTGAGTGGTGTCCTCTTATTGCCACAAGGCATTTTTCTGCTCCAACCCACCTAAGCTGTAAGCCTCCAAGCTACATTGCAAGGGGCTGCATGTAGTTCCCAGTAGAATGCCAAAAACAATGCTGGTTAATTTGACTTCAGAAACATACTCCAGTCCACCACCTCCCATGGTGGCAATTTAACTGGGAAACATGGGCGCAATTCATGTACATTAATGGAGGGCAGCAAAGGCTCTGCATATCCTATACTGAAAGCCTTCAGTGACCTTAATACAAGAAGAGGAAAGGTAGGGATGGCGTTACTCAAACTGTCCATGCAAGCTGCTTGCGGGATTGTTTGCTAAATAAAGCAACAGATGTTGCTGGATAGAATTATGTGGCATCATGTCTAGTCCCAGGGGGAGGGGTGAAGTGTGATCATATAAGCAGAGACCCCCCTCCCCCCAGGGATTAATTCACCATGTTACAAGAGCAAATTCCAGTAGGGTGCCTGAAAGGCAAATATAGCTAGTTTTGTTCTCACAATGTGCAACAGCTCATCATTCCGTAGTCCCAGTGAACCAGACATCTCCAGCAGGTTCTGAAGTTTTTGGACTTAAAGCTATGTTTGCCTGGACACTATCAAACATTTGCCAAGGCAAGGAAATCTTGTGTTCATGGCTGAGGGCTTGCATTTCATGCTTAAATAAAAGAAGGGAACAATAAAAGCACCAGGAAAGGCTCATATAGTTTATGCAGGGCACTGAAGCCCTGTCACTAAATCCTGAAATCCTGGTCAGTTACCTCCAGCTTCTGATATTGCGTCAGGCATTGCCTGTTCATTGCTGGTTCAGACATAAAGCTGAACCTTGGTTTGGTGGTGCAAGAATTAACCATCAATTAACTTTGGGCTTGCTCGTGCTGGCACCCTTCTGCCATTCGTTTGGTTCTTCTCTAGTTTAAGGCAAATGTGCAAGGGGTTGATGTCAACTCAACTAGATGAAAACGGTTTATGGCCTGCAAACCAGGTTTGGAAACTATGGTTTTAATGTTTCTAGCACTGGTGTGCAGATTTGATTTGATTTGATTTGATTTAAACATTTCTATGCCATCCTTTGCAAAAAGCCTCAAGACGGCTTACAAAAGATAAAAATAGAAATATAAAGTACGATTAAAACATTCAATAATAACACAGCATAAAAACAGTTCATAACTAAAGAAAAAAGAAAGATACAAACCATTGCTTACCAGTTTATCTGAAACACCATATAGTGGTTTGCTCAAAACACCAAGCAGTAGTTTATGCAGCCAAGGCAAAATGGTAAACTGTAGTTTGACTCAAACCAGGAAAATAATATCTATGAATTGAGGATGGGATGGGAGGGAACAGAAGGGATTACACAGGTCTAAGTTTCCTTGGTAGCTCACCCTCGTGACGTTTTGGATTTTTTTCTGACTCTGCCCACACTTTCAAATTCTTGGTAACTTTATGGGTTAGAATTTTTGTCTGCATTTCCTTAAAACTGCAACAGATGCATAGTTTTGCATGAAGGCCTCAACAGAATGGGCTGTTTTGAAGAACGCTGGACAAGCAGTGTTTGCAGCTGCCGCAGACTGGCCCTCTCTGCGGAGTCAGTTGAGACCCTGCCTTTCCTTTCCAGCTGGAGCTTGACCAGTCTGTTCTCGGCAGAGAATACTCTTCACCTTAGCTTCTGGTTTATTGTTCTATCAACATGACTGATTTTTACCCCAATTATTGCAAAAAAATTGCGGTCAGAGCTACAGACCGTCCTTGGGTTGCTGCCATTTTATGACTTGGAATGGTGAGAGGTATTTTTAGTTACAAGCACTTCTGGGAATTCAAGTGCTTCAGCAAGAGCTGGAATTCTACTCCTCTCTTTAACTTGTTGTCACTCTAAAGATTCATTTATATCTCATGTATTTGCATATGCGGAAGTGTGTGTGTGTGTGTGAGAGAGAGAGAGAGAGAGAGAGAGGGAGATATTAAACAGATTTAGTTCCACTGAACCTAAGGTGAGCATGACCTATTGAAGTCCCATTGATTTCACTGTAATTAATTCGCTGTAATTATGAAGAACCTGGATGCAACCCATTTACTTTAATCATTCCATTCACAAAACTTGAGAGGTACAATTTTCCTTATCCCAAAGGCTCAGGTAATAAGATTTCTTTACCTCATTTGTCTTTTGTGGGATGTCACGATTTTGCCCACTTCACAGAATGGGATATGGTGCAGGAAAACCGAGTTCCCAGATATGAAACCAAAGCTCTGGTTCCAGACACAGCATCCACTGGATCGCCAGTGCTCATTAATACTGGCGTGCTTGTTCCTTTTTCACTGCTAGAAAATGCAACGTTTGAACTTACAAATGGTTTGTCTTCGTAAACATATAGCTAAAGCCTCAGAGTTAGCTCCCTATTCCACAAACTGCAAGAAGCTAGAGGTGTTGCACAGTGTATCATCCATCGATATTTGAGTAATATTTCTGCTACAAGAAGTGGCTGCACCCACCCCTGCATCCCAGGAAGGCATTCATGACAGGGGGAGGGAGAGGGGAAGGGGAAAGCTGCTTGCCCCCTTTCTTTTCACCCAGTGAAGGAGAGACTGCTCCCATGCTTCTGTTTCTCTCCTCATTCCTCCTCCTTTCTGTGTCATGTCTGTGGGATTTGGAGCTTGTGCTCAGGGTAGGTCTTGTCTTGTAGTGCAGGACTTGATCCTTTTTGATACTTTGTAGAATCAAAGAGTTGGAAGGGACTTTAAAGGTCACCTGAACTTTTCCCATGTCAATGCAGAGATGTGGTCACCCAGCCTTTCCAAACAACCTTTGATTGATCTCAAATCTGAAAGGGGGATTCCATGGGGACTTCCGAGTAGGAGTGAGTCATCTGCACCCCAAGGGCTGTGTGCATGGCCCAAGCTGTGGCTGCAGTTGCTCCCCCCCCCCCCCCCGGCCAGCTGCCCAAATGTTTATACATGGCAGCAGTGAGAAAGTCTCCTTGAGATCAGGCTAAATTTGACCTACCATTTTCTGCAGGGAAAATTCAGTGGGGTGCCAGCAGTTTGCAGCCCTTGGAGGGATCCAGAGGAGGAACAAAATGGCCCCTGAGCCCGCACAGTTGTCCATCTCTGCTATAGAGGAAGGCTGTATAAGAATTGTAATAGTTTATTATTTAAGCTTTTTTATACCTTCATTAGCAGTGGAGCTCTCAGAAAGGTGTCTAAAAAGCCAAGTAAAAACAATATACGGTATCAATAATGTAATTGATACCAAATGCATCTGTCATAGCACATCTGCACAACCAACAAAATTCAAACAGTATAAACATTATAACAATATAAACAATAATTAAAAAACAAGACAATATGGCTGAGCATTTGGCTTTGTTGCAGTCTAACCCATGACCAGCAAAAGAAATTATAGAAAATAAACCAACTGTTCAAGAGAATTCAGGAGAGCTTAAAATGTATAATATATGCATATCTCAGGATTCACTTTTCTTGGAACAGAATTGGATTATCTCATACAGAATGTTCTTTTCCTTTCTTTAAGCAAAGTAGTTCCATTTTAAAGATGGGTAACGGAGTCTGACAGGAGATGACCCGCCAGCTCCACTCTGTGCATCCAAGGCCAAGCTCAGCACTAAGTCCAAATCTTTCAGCCGCCTCCTGGTCACACAATCTCTTTAATGACATTCTTACCAACCAGTTTTCTTATCATCACCATGTACTTTGAAAAGGGCACAGTGATTACCAGCACACTGTTGGATTTAAAATAACTTTCACAACTAAAATTTTATCATTGAATCTAGAAACTATTCTGGGAGTTTCCAGAAGTCTGGCTCAACTGACATTTCAAGCAGCATCTCTAACCCTCTTGATAATGTCAAATGACTCATTCATTCTTTACAGTTATCCATCCTGATGAGTTGAAAATACTTACCCAGAAGTTACTAAACTTTTCAGTATCAAACTCTTTTTCCCACAAACCATCAGATGAGTTGCTTGACACTACCTAGAAACAAACATGTTCTGCCATCCTTCAGAACTTTCTGGTCTAGGAGAAGCTTCTTCAGAGGAAACCCCACCAAACTTTTTGCAAACACCTCCAGGGGAAATCTCCATCAGCATCTTAGGCACAGGCAGAGCAGACAGCAGACCCTGTGCTAAAACTGCACCATTTCAAAGGGCTGTCAGAGTGGAATGCTCCTCCAGGTGAACTCTTTTTGCTGAAAACCAAGCCTGTGCATGGAGTGCTGCTAATCCAATTCTTCCTGGTAAGATAAAAAGGGGGCACCAAAATATCAAAAATACCAGCACCTACATGTATGTGGATTTGCAGGTTTTGTGCAAAAATTGGTATCATCAGTGGTAACACAACGTGACTTCTGTGGCAAAAGCTGAGAATCCCTTTTTTGCTTATCTGAGCTCAGTTGATGTTTCTCTCTTTGTAGCTGGACGATTTGTACCTGATCGCCATCTGCCACTGCCGGGGAATCAAGTCACTGAGAGATCTCACAGCTGCACACCTGCCTTTGCTTAGGAACATCTCACAAGAAGGGAAGGTGAGCATCCTCTTCTGTTTAACCCAGATTTTTCCCTAAGGGGGTACTTCTCTTGTGACATTAGCATCTTCTTCCCACCACCCAAATGGAAAGGCTTTTGTTTTTGTCATGGGAAAATTGCATTTCTTCACAGGTTCATGGCATCCAAGGCTGACAAGTGATAGAAAAATAAAGAGACATGTGCCTGCATGCATGCACACATTTGCATGTCTCCTCTGGAGTGTTTCACAGATGTTTGCCCTGCAAACATAGTAGGTGTCCTGCTTTTCCTGTCCTGGAGGGGCATCCATTGCAACTATTAAACTAGTCTTGGGAACCTTGCTGTGGTGAGCAAAGATAAGCAGAGATGTTTCTTCTCTTGCCCTTCTGCCAACCAGGAAAAGCCCTTTTATTCAAGCAGATCTTTTGAAAGTTGGGTTGGAAGCTGTTTTTATTTTGTTATTGATGTGCTTTGATTGTGTTTTCAAGCCCTGGTTTGTTATTGTTTCAAACAATAAGCTGCAAGCTGCTACAAGTGTCACATTCCTTGGTAGAAAGGCGAGGTAAAATCAATGAAATACATACATAAATATACAAATAAATATAGTAATCCTCTTCGTTTGTTTTGTTTGATTCAGTTTCTGAAGGACCATTTGCTTTCTGCCCTCTGGAGCTAAAAAGCACATCTTCCTTGCTTGTTGTTTGCTTCTCTAAAGCTCTGACAAGATCATTTAATGAATCACAAAAATTATATCCACTTTATTTCTTTTTAAATTTATCTTGCCATGTAATTATTTTTTATCCAAGTTTTTTCCCAGTGATTCTGCTTTACATGCCTGAAACCTATAAAGAGTCATTGATATTGAAAAGGGAGGGGAAAGGGCAGGAGGAAAGGGAATGCTTTGCAGGTTTTATTGCATTGGGGGATGGAAAAATCTAATTCACTATTAATAACAACAAGGAAGGAAAGGAAAGGAAAGGAACGGAAAGGAACGGAAAGGAAGGCATGTCTAAGTGAGGCACAAAAACAAGTCTTCATGTGGGGAGCAAGATTACTTTCTTGGGAATCCCTGTTGGAACCGATAGGTTTTCCGTTATGGCCGGTGCCCCACTCTGTATGCGCTTGCATAGAGATATCCCCCGCTTGTGCAGCTCACGTGGCAATTGCACTGCAGGCAACTGATCTGGGCTAATTCAAAAAGAAGTTCCAGCGTGTGAGCGAATTATAGTCTTCTGTAGCTGCTCAGTCATTTCCTATGATGTTCTGAGGAAATTGCCCTTGTCAGCATCTGAGCAATTTGTTACTAGGCCACTCTGGTGAGATTCTGGCAGGCAATCAAGAAGAAGCTGTGCTCTCTTTTTCGAACTGCATGTGGGATTTTTATTTTTGTTTTAATTTTGAATATTACACCTAGCCACACAGTGTGGACTCATGGCTCCTCTTGCTGGAAGACAGCCTCCCCACGACCACTTCTGCCACAAGTGCCGCCGCTGCCGCTGTTTGGTCTTCTGGGGACAATTAGTTCCCCTGTGATGAATTGTCCGCTGCCAAGCAGAACTGGCAAAATGAAACGTGTCTCCCTGGGACCAGATGTTGCACAGAGCATTTCAAGTCCAAGTGGCCCGACGCCAACAGCTGCCGCTCCAATGGAAATGTTTCCACTTCCATTTGACACCACCTTCTGGAGGTCTGAAGCTGCCACCCTGCACCTCTTTATTTGGGAGGAATCTCCACTGACATGCATAAGGCTTATTTGGAGGCAAACACGGGTCGGGCCCACTTTGGGAAAACTGATCCGTTCTGGCTTGCCTACTTTGTGTGTGCCCTCGAACCCAGGGCAGCAGCTTTGCTCAACAGTGTGCTGTTTCCTGTGAAACTAGGGTTGGGTTCATCAGAAATCATGAGCCAGAGGTTCCTCTGACTAGTTTTATCATCATGTTATTGGCCGGTGCTTCTGCGTTTAGACGGGCCAGCCTCAGGGGTAGATGCTGATGTCTGAACATCTGCCCAGGGCTCATATCCCATCAAGAACCCCGGACATGCTGCTCCGTTCCCCTGTGACAACCTGCTTGTTCACCTTCCGCTTGTTCTGGTCCAGGCCATGGTAGTGAGGAAGGAAGCTCCCATCAGGCTCTGCAGAGCAGCATGGCTCCCCCGGGTGGCTTGTTAGAACAGGCAACCTGCCTCACCTGGCAAGGACTTGCAGGACTGCTCTCAGGCCCGTAGGTGCGTGCAGGAATTGGAGCCCCTGTGATCGTGGAAGCCAGCTGGAAGGCGCAGGAGGGCTGTAAAAGGCTGCTCAGCCATGCCTAGTTTTGCCAGAGCAACATGGGTCTCTGCGGTGCTTGTTTTGTGGTCCTGGTCTGACTTCTGGCTCTAGTCTTGCGGCTTCCTTTTCCTGCAGGGGCTCAAGGCTTACGTCGTCTTTCTCTTTCTCTCCGTTTTATCCTCACAACAACCCTGTAAGGTAGGTTAGGCTGGGAGTCTGTGACTGGCCCAAGGTCACCCAGTGAGCTCCGTGGCTGAGCAGGGACTAGAACCCGGATCGCCTGAATCTCAGCCCTGCATCCTCACCGCTGCCCCATGCTGGTGTGTGTTTTCTCACTGTCGTCATTTCATGTCCATAGGATACTTTTTTACCATCATACTTTCAGACTTGGCTTTGGTACCGTGATGGGTAGAAACTCATAACTTCTGCAAACATTCGTGCAACCAGTGGCCCCACCCCTACAGCACCCACCGACTAGCAGCCTCCCGGTATGAGCAGCGCAAGTGAGCCCCCATGTCATATCCCGAACCCTTCTGTGAACAGAAGCCTCACCCAGTGCAATTCTCACATTTTGTGGAGGAGCAGCTGCAAAACCTTCTCTGAGGAACAGAATATGTCAGATCTGTGAGGACCGTGACCTAATTAAAATCCTGCTGTTGCTATTTTTAAAGATCTCCCAAAATAGTCTTTATTGCATGCGCCTCCTTTCTTTGCCCATTTGTGCCTGCAAAGCTTCTCACACCCTGTTCTGAACGGCACAATAGCTGCTCTTTGGGGGCACGGGGATGGACCGCCCCGTGGCTCCCATTCCAGGAGCAGAGCGATTTTCCGGATGTTCAGGCTCCCCACTTCTTTAATGGGTTGGCCCTTTCACGACTTGATTGGCCCTTCCTTTGGCTCTTCATACAGGCAGGGGGTGCCCAGACCAAATTACCCAGGAAAGCAGCATCCCAGAGGACTCAGGCTGGGCAGCATGGGCAGTGCTGTTGTGGCTTAAGGCGAACACACTTAGTGTCGCCCAAACCTTTGCAGAGTGTGACCTGCTTCATCGGATATGTGAAATGTTAGCCTCAGTTCACAGATAGGCTCACATCTATATATGGTTAGAGAAAGTGGGAAACGCATTGTCCAAATTTCCAAGAAACGCAAGCGGTACAGTCTGACTTTTTAAGGCAAAGCTCAATTGCAGACGGGGCCAGCGTCCCGAGAAGATCATCCCGGACACAATCTGCTGCATGCTGCAGTCAGAGAGGAGGTTTTCTGTGTCGTGAAAGAGGGACGCATGCTCTGCTCCCTCCGCTAGGCTTTCACTCGGCCCCCGTAGGTGCCCCGAGAGCTCTGTGGTCCCACAGCTTTTCCCCACACTGGATCCCCACAATTCTACTGTGACCTCTCTGCACCCCTCCCAGTGATCCTGATATGCCTGGATCCCGCCGCCCCCCAGCAAGGAAAGAGTGGTCTGGATTACTGGGATGTGTGTCCGTGTGTATATGTGTATTTGCACATGCACGTGGGGGTTTGGCCCTAAACACAGCATCGCATGAGGCCCCCGGAGACTGAAGAGTTGGGCAGTCTGATCATGGCACACTTCTGCCCATATATCTTGGGGGTTTGTGTGTGTGTGTCTAAAGCACGTAAGAACGCGGGGATGACACGGCGTACACTTTGCGCTGTGCCCCTGCCTGCTTCCGGCATGTGCCCCCAGCAGGTCTGCTGAGAGCCAGTTTGGCCCTGGGCTGAAATAGTTTTCCCACCTTTGTTCTATGACAATGCAAGGAGCTGGTTTCCCATGAAACGTCGTGATAGCAGGAGTCTAGACAGAGAGTTTTTCACATTAGAGGCAGGATCGTTTCTGCAAATGTATCCAGTGAGGATGCAGTCCGCTCTGCTTCCTTCTCCCCATCATTCTTTACATTGGGAGACCTACAGACAGTCCTGCCTGCTTAGAAATTAGGCCCACACAGTAAGAGTGGATAGGAGCCTGCCCTTAAAACGCATAATGATTTCTTTTTCCATTCCATTGCCCTGTTTGACATCTTTTCTCTTATCTTAGGCTATTTCTAGTGTTCCCTAAATGCATGAATCTACTGCCTGTATGTGTCTGCTCATATCATCTCAGTGTGAGCCTGTTGAAAGAAAACAACTCAGTACACAGACTCCTTGCTTTGCTTCCCGTGTTTCTCTTTTCTCGTGACCCCATGAGCTGCCGATTGCTCTGCAGAACAGCCATAAAGACGGTCAAGGTTATGCAGGCTGCAGCATTGCGCTACTCTGCAGAGCAAAATGACAGTTCTTAGAAAACAACCATCCATTTCCTCTTGGCTCAGGCTGATTCTGGGGAATAAGCTGGAACAGGGACCATCAGCTGAAGCCAAAGACACGCTTCACCCACTCTTCCCAGAACCAAAGATATTGTTCACAAAGAGTTCATTTATGGAATGTGCTGCTCAGTTCCCTCTCCCCTTCTCTGCTTTTCGAGGGTGTAACTTAGATGATTCCCAACTGAATCGCCAGCACTTCCAGTTCAGCTGTCTTTCGGTCTGCTAATGCACAGCTTGTGACTGTGCGGTGAACAGTCTGCCTTGAAGGAAGACCCTTTTCCCCTGGGGCATTAAATTCTTCAGGATTTCTGGACTCGTGGCCATACATTTCCCATCCAGGTCTGTGCTTCTGTAGCAGTACCAGGGCTGTGTTTGTCTCTGCCTTTGTAACAATGCCTTCACTGATTTAGTCAGCTTGCAAGCGTTTGGGTATTCCCAGGCTGGGGGCATGAACGCAATTTGGTGAGCAGCCCTCATCTCACTCCCCGTGGTGGCCCCCCCCACTGCTGCTTCCTTTCTCGATCTGCAGCCAAAAGGGGATCTGCAAAACGTCTTTCCTTGGAGGAATGGAAGAAGGAACAGATTGCTTAAACTCGAAAAGAGAAAAGCAATTGCAGAAGAAAAGACAGAAATGAGGAACAGCCCTTCTCAGAAGGACAGCCCATGTGGTGCAAACCTTGATCCTGTTGGCTCCCATCCACGTGGGCCACAAAATCCGTGCTCCCCATCCTTCTAATTCCTTTCCTTGCATCTTTTATAGTCGTCAGCCTGTGAACAGGGGCTGTCTAATGGTTGCTTCTGGTTGGTCACTCTGCCAGCCTGGCAGAAGAAAAATCCTTCAGGCAAAAGAATGGGTACATATGGAAATAATCTGGAATTTGAATTAATGCCTGGTGCAATTACCTGCCTTGCAAAGCAGTCCCCAGAGCAGTCGCTCACTCCTGGTTGCAAGCATGACCATGACATTTGTGTTCCCTCCTAGGAGGCCATAGCCAAGCGTTTCGGCATCGCTGGGTCCCAGCTACGGATCTTCCTGCATTACCAGCCGTCTTACTACCACCTCCACGTCCATTTCACCGCCCTGAGCTATGAGGCGCCAGGATGCGCAGTGGAGCGAGCCCACCTCCTCTCAGACGTGATCAGTAACTTGGAGCTTGACCCCCAGTACTATGAGAAGTGCACTCTGACCTTCGCTCTCCGGGCGGATGAAGCCCTGCTGAAGAAATTCCAGGAAGCTGGTCGAGTCTGAGCCCTTGGGGATTGCTGAGCAAAGAGTGTGTCTCTTTCATGCAGACAGTTTTGTATTGTGTTTAGATGCTTGTCTACAGTTTGTAAGATGAGTGTTATATTTCCATTCCTATTGCTGGCACAGCATTTGTTTTTTATCTATCAATAAATGGCCATATACCAGATGTATCATTTTTCCTTTTTCACGAGGACAGGTTTTGGTACCCCTCTCATCTCTAGTTGAAACAGGAGTGAGGAGTTTGTGACTGTCCAGATGTTGCTGAACCCTGGTCAACCTCCCTCCCTCTCTATGTGAGTGTGAGCGTGTGTGTGTGTGAGGTGGGGGGGGAGTGACACCAATAAAAAATCATGTCTGTCTAGCGCGTCCCAGTGTCTAGAGTGGTGTAGGCAAACTCCATCCCGTGGCCTTAACCTGTCCTACAGAGGGTTGGACCCCCTCTTTCAACTCCTAGAGATTGAGACTGAGGAGATGAATGGACTGAGGAGAGGTGAGATTGAGACTGAGCAGCTAGAGACTGAGGCGATAAAGGGATTCCCTTGCATGCTGCCAGTGCTCCCGATGCTAATGCAGTGTGAAGAGACAATCAGAGTTTGGAGATAACATGAGGATTCCCTAGGACTTGGTTGTGGATTACAGGATACTTGGGCTTGCAAGCCGAGCATGGCTTTGCTATCATTCTTTCTTCCCTGACCCAAACATCGGCAATCATTTCCTGACACCGCAGTTCAACTAATGGTTAAGCATGATTTAGGAGAAGCTAGAAGACTTACAGGAAAACTCCATGGTATGAACAGGATCCATAGTGATTGTATTAAAACAAAACTGCTAGACCCTGAACGGGGCAACAGTTAAAACCTACTTTTTCTAATGAAGATGCTCAGAAATTTACCAGAAAGTCGATGGTATAATGCAGCCCACAGTAGCTTTCCTGCTAAATGCTCTTCATTACAGGAAAGACTGGACTAAAGTTTGATCATTCATGTCGTACTTTCTGCCATTTCTTCCTTCTGCCTTAAAAACAAAACAAAGCACCACTGCCATTTTGATAGGATGCAAGGGATGGTGACAAAGCGTTGTTCAAGGAGTGCTCCAGCTGAAAGTTCCAGCCAGCCAAGATCGCCTTTTCCCAGGATACTCTTCTCTCCCTCTGCCCAACCCGGACTCTCTGTGTTCTGTAGCTGCAGAGCATGTTCTGCCCCAGATGGGCAAGTTTTTAATTCCTGCTTCCCATTTTTGCTCTTGTGCTTCAGAAAACTTTCTGATTCCTCTTCTTGCACCATGGATGATACAGTTTTGGCTACATAAGAATTGGCACATGAAAAATGTATACGAGGGGAAATTCCATACTCTGTCCCAGTAACTATCCTACTGAGGCTTCTTTTAACCTCAGAAGCAACAAACTAAAAAAGTGATTCTTCTGCCTAGGAGCAGTTGCGATTTCTCAGCTTGAAAGATGATTGATCCTTCTTTCAAGAGACCTCAGATTATGCCCAGAAGAAATGTATTTGTTGGCTTTCGGTGGAGTCTTCGATGAAGGGTATATGAAGCACACCTGCTTCCAAGTCTCTCCAAGTGTCTGTTTCTTGGGCTATTGTCTGTTGCCAGCGGGAGAAGAACCAGGATGTGTTGTGGCAAGAGCAACAGAGTGGGCATGGAGCAGAGCAGAACTTAGTATCTGGAATCTGGGATTTGGAAAGAACATTGCTGAGTCTGTCGAAGCTAAGCCAATCATTCCCAAATATTTGCCATGAGACATAACATAATTAAATCATTAAAGGCCGCTGTAGGCCCCAGCGTTCCCATTCACAAGGGAAGGGCAGCGGCTGTGTGTCGACACATGTGATTAATTTTGTTGCCTCTCCGCATTGGGTGCGACAGGATCGTTCAGTGTTCTCAGTGCAGAGAAAGGCAGCAAACAGACCTGTGGTTGAAGGAGGCGGCTTGTAATACTCAGCATGCTTTGCTACAACGCATCCCAGACTTTGGTGGGCCGCTTCCACAAGGGTAACAAAATGTGGTGGCAGAATTGGGAGGCAGGGAACTTCTCTACATAACTCTACTTCTGGGGTTTTTGTGAGATCGAGTTTGGCTCCTTTACATGTGTTTTTCTGAGCTGTCTTTCCTCCATGCCAGAGTAATGTGGTGAGCCAGGGAGCTACAGCACCAGAACAGTTTGTCGCCTATTTCCATTTCAGTTGAACATGGAGGAGCTTGCTTGAATGACGAGGTCGGCGACCGTGGCGTGCCCGTGTTCTGGTTCCTTACGGGTCCAAGTGCAGAAAGGGAGGCCCCCTCAGTCTCTACTTCGTTCATAGTGCCTGCATCGGAGGCGTGGAGCCTCTTTCAGCCCAAGCACCAAACCCCATTTTGGAGAAGCGTTGGGGAACGACCGTGCAGGACTGGACAGGGCCAAGCACAAGGGCATGTTTTAATCTCACAGTTCTTAATTCCATAATTAACATTAGATGAGGGCTTTGGATCTTAGAAGAGGGGAAATTACTGGCCCAAAGCCAGGAATCCCCCAGATGACCAACAGCTGAGGAAAGGGGCAGGGCCTCCTGGGGAACCACTGCAGGATTCATTTGGAGCCATCCATCCATCCTGCTCCAGATGTTGGCAGCTGTAGGATGGTTTGCAGTGGCCCAGCCTCCCCACAGGCAGTCCTGTTCTGCGCCTGTATTGGAAGTTGTTAAGCAATTCAGTCAGGTGATTTCCAACCAGAAGGGGCTCCCAAAAGTGACTAGGTTGGCCACTTGTGAGCTACCACAAAAAGGGCCTCCACCGTGAGAGAAAGGACAAAAGAGGACACCAATTTGCATAGTAGCCATATGCTAATTTTGTCTTTTAGAGATGAATCCTCATTGTGATTTAAATAGCGATACAGTCCACCTCGCCAAGACTGTGGCCAGGTGACCTTTGTGACTTGCTCGGTCTGCTGTCTGGGTGCTGTTAATGGGCACCCAGTTTCAAGGCCTTCTTCTTGAGGGTTCTTGATGTTTTTACTAGATGTGGACCCGATGCTCTTTGATTACAAGACCCTCCCAAAATAGAAGACAGCCCTCTGAGATCCCTTCGAATAGAGGACTGTCCTCTGTAACAGTGGACCCTTGGCCACTCTCCGAAACACAGGTTACACATGTTAAAAGTCAAAATTTGCGGAGGGTTGGAAGAGTAAAGACCACCTTCAATGTTTAATTAAGATGGAACGGTGAAGTTTGAGATCATCCCTGCTAGTTATATTCTCTGTGTATCAGCAATGAATGTCAGGACACTGAGATAGCCTCTGGTCATGCCTGAGTATTTGAACAGATGTGGAAAACTCAGGATATCCAGGTGTTCAAAAGCTCAGGGCCTGGACCAGTTGATCAGCTAAAAGAAATTGCACAAGATGTAGCAAGGGTGTGTGAATATGTGGGCACAACATGGAAGTTGGGGCAAGCTTCTGACTTTATCTGGGTTCCTCAGGTTCTGAGTAGGCTTGGCAATCATGCACAAATCCATCCATCTGGATGGACTTCTCCTTCCACTTAGGGATGAGCAAATCCAGTTCAAGGAGGTCTGCACGGAAACTCAGCCCAGTCTTCTGCCTATTTACTTGTATGAGCTGCACTTATTTCAGTGAGGCTTACTCCCAGGTAAGGAAGCATAGTGTAGTTTGCAGCTGCTGCTTCCCCTTCCCCTTCTGACAGATTCAGACCTGGAGGCAAGACGGCACATGTTCCCATGTAGTAGAAGTGGGCCTGAAACAATGATGGTGGAGGAAAGATTCTCAATAAATCCAACTCCACTTGATCCATGTTAAGCACTTTAAAACTGATGCCCACAAATCAAACCATGATGTACGTGTGTTTGTTGAAACCTAAGTTGCTCTATTTTTTCAGTGTACAATATTTGACTATATCAAGACCTGGAAGGGAGAGGGTGGGGGGTAAAGTGGCAGAATAGCTGTTTGACTTAAGTTAAAAATATAAGAAAGATAGAGACATGAATGACAGCTGAAAGGGATGGTGATTATGGCAATGCAGGCTGAGCCATTATCTGCTTGGCCTGCTCTGGAATAAACTGGGCAAGGCCCAGCGTCACTCTCTTGTCCTGTCCTGCGACAGCTGCAGACAAAGGGCAGGTTATTCCCTGGCTTTTGAGGAGGCTGGCAAGGTACCGCTCCAACCCTGACAGAGAGGGATGGCAGGCTAGGACGCAGTGGGTGTTCCTACATCCTCCCCACTCCTCATGCTGCTGTTCCCGGCCCCCTGGGAACTTTCTGTTGCACAAGTGGTTTATCAAGTCACGAGAATCTTCCCGTTGGCTCTCCCCCCTTTTCAGAGCCCCTTCTGCTCCAGTTATGGGGTCCCCCGAAGGAGTGATGTGCAGTGTGAAACAATAGCATAGCTCTGACACCTGGTGTACCCTCAGACATGTGGGCTACTTTACATGCTCAGAAGTGCTCTTTCTTGTAGGACTGCCCTTCCCCACACTGGTTGTAGGCTAATTGTTGGATGGCACTTCTACTTTTTTAAAAAATTGAAGTCAGGCAGATGGGGAGGAGAAGTCCAGGCTTTTCAGTAGTGGCTCCCTCGTGGAACAACTCTCCAAAAGAGAAGCATGGCTCCTTTTTCACTTTTAGGGGAAAGGAAGAATTGTGAAATATGTATCGTCTCTCTGTCTGTCTAACCACCAAAGGTATCATTTATTTATCGGCAGGCAATGAGGAGGGAAGTTAAATTTGAACTGCTAATGGTTTAAATCAAGAAGTAGCTTGTTTATTAATTACCTGGAGCCATTTGATGGTGGTCGTTTTGGGGGCAGGGGGAGGTTGAATTTAATCCTCAACTTTTGATTGTGCTTTACTGTGGTGTTCTGTTGTTGGGGGTCATATTTAAAATCATATTTTAAGGGCTTCTGGAAGGATATAAATCCCAGGAATAAATGAAGGCAAGCAGTGAGGCATCCATAGACACCACTGGGTGATGCATGCCTTTATCTTCTGCCAGTTTGAGGTAAATCCACTAAAAAGAGAGAATAGCACTGTGTCTCCCTCCCAGTAGCAACCATGCAGAGTCCGACATATGCCTACTCAGAAGCAAGTCCCACTGAATTCAAAGGGACTTCTCCCTGTGCGGGGTGACATTGCAGCCCTGAGTTATACCCACTTACATGGGAGCG